AAGTGATCACTACAGTACCTTAGAGATAATATAGTCACCAAAATCACTACAGCGTAAAGGACCACTCTAGGCACCCAGACTACTTCCCAGCATTAAAGGACCACTCTAGGCACCCAGACTACTTCCCAGCATTAAAGGACCACTATAGGCACCCAGACTACTTCCCAGCATTAAAGGACCACTCTAGGCACCCAGACTACTTCCCAGCATTAAAGGACCACTCTAGGCACCCAGACTACTTCCCAGCATTAAAGGACCACTCTAGGCACCCAGACTACTTCCCAGCATTAAAGGACCACTATAGGCACCCAGACTACTTCCCAGCATTAAAGGACCACTCTAGGCACCCAGACTACTTCCCAGCATTAAAGGACCACTCTAGGCACCCAGACTACTTCCCAGCATTAAAGGACCACTCTAGGCACCCAGACCACTTCCCAGCATTAAAGGACCACTATAGGCACCCAGACCACTTCCCAGCATTAAAGGACCACTATAGGCACCCAGACCACTTCCCAGCATTAAAGGACCACTATAGGCACCCAGACCACTTCCCAGCATTAAAGGACCACTATAGGCACCCAGACTACTTCCCAGCATTAAAGGACCACTATAGGCACCCAGACTACTTCCCAGCATTAAAGGACCACTATAGGCACCCAGACTACTTCCCAGCATTAAAGGACCACTATAGGCACCCAGACCACTTCCCAGCATTAAAGGACCACTATAGGCACCCAGACCACTTCCCAGCATTAAAGGACCACTATAGGCACCCAGACTACTTCCCAGCATTAAAGGACCACTATAGGCACCCAGACCACTTCCCAGCATTAAAGGACCACTATAGGCACCCAGACTACTTCCCAGCATTAAAGGACCACTATAGGCACCCAGACTACTTCCCAGCATTAAAGGACCACTATAGGCACCCAGACTACTTCCCAGCATTAAAGGACCACTATAGGCACCCAGACTACTTCCCAGCATTAAAGGACCACTATAGGCACCCAGACTACTTCCCAGCATTAAAGGACCACTATAGGCACCCAGACCACTTCCCAGCATTAAAGGACCACTATAGGCACCCAGACCACTTCCCAGCATTAAAGGACCACTATAGGCACCCAGACTACTTCCCAGCATTAAAGGACCACTATAGGCACCCAGACTACTTCCCAGCATTAAAGGACCACTATAGGCACCCAGACTACTTCCCAGCATTAAAGGACCACTCTAGGCACCCAGACCACTTCCCAGCATTAAAGGACCACTATAGGCACCCAGACTACTTCCCAGCATTAAAGGACCACTATAGGCACCCAGACCACTTCCCAGCATTAAAGGACCACTATAGGCACCCAGACCACTTCCCAGCATTAAAGGACCACTATAGGCACCCAGACTACTTCCCAGCATTAAAGGACCACTATAGGCACCCAGACTACTTCCCAGCATTAAAGGACCACTATAGGCACCCAGACTACTTCCCAGCATTAAAGGACCACTATAGGCACCCAGACTACTTCCCAGCATTAAAGGACCACTATAGGCACCCAGACCACTTCCCAGCATTAAAGGACCACTATAGGCACCCAGACCACTTCCCAGCATTAAAGGACCACTATAGGCACCCAGACCACTTCCCAGCATTAAAGGACCACTATAGGCACCCAGACTACTTCCCAGCATTAAAGGACCACTATAGGCACCCAGACTACTTCCCAGCATTAAAGGACCACTATAGGCACCCAGACTACTTCCCAGCATTAAAGGACCACTATAGGCACCCAGACTACTTCCCAGCATTAAAGGACCACTCTAGGCACCCAGACTACTTCCCAGCATTAAAGGACCACTCTAGGCACCCAGACCACTTCCCAGCATTAAAGGACCACTATAGGCACCCAGACTACTTCGCAGCATTAAAGGACCACTATAGGCACCCAGACTACTTCAGCTCAATGGAGTGGTCTGGGTGCCAGGTCCCTCTAGTTTTAACCCTGTAGCTGTAAACATAGCAGTTACAGAGAAACCGCTATGTTTACACTGAGGGTTAATCCAGCCTCTGGTGGCTGTCTCACTGACAGCCACTAGAGGCCACTTCCGCGATTCTCACTGTAAAAATCACATAGGAAAGCATTGAGTAATCCTTTCCTATGGGCTGTTTGAATGCGCATTGCCGCGCATGCGCATTCGGTGCTGACGTTGGCAGGAGGAGGAGAGTCCCCAGCGCCAAGGGAGCCTGGTGCTGGAGAAAGGTAAGTGTTTTAACCCCTTCAGCCCAGCGTGAGGGGGGCCATGAGGGTGGGGGGACCTAAGGACTACATAGTGCCAGGAAAACAAGTTTGTTTTCCTGGCACTATAGTGGTCCTTTAATGTAGCCTGTCCCTGCAGACTTTTCAATGTGAACACTGACATTCAGGGTCCCCACGCCCTGCATGGAGACCTTGAACGTTCCCCATAGAAATGCATTGATTCAATTAATCTCTATGAGGTGATGCTGATTGGCACAGTACGGCGTCTTGCCGCCTTGCTATTCTGTCCTATGGGAAGGCAGTGGGTTGTCTGAGATCTTCAAGATTAATGATCTAAGGCCACAGTTGTGGGGCCAGTGATGGCAAGACCGGGGCAACGTTGGCGAAAAGGTACGTTTAATCACCTTTTCAACGCGATCTGAGGGAGTCCTAATAGTTTATTCTTTGCACTATCATATTCCTGCACTTATTCTATATAGTAGGTCAATGACGATATATTGAACGCATGATAATGTCACATACGGTGGATCCATCCCAGTTTTCTTTGTTACTGTACACTAATTCTGTGATCACACCCCTGTACACCTGTTGCTTGTTTAAATACACAATATAAATCTGTTTGTAACCTGCTGACCCCAAGATTGATAAGATCTATTTAGGTCAAAACATTTCCAGCTAAGTTGTCATCACCAAATAAAGGCCATTCTTGTTACAATTTGGACTGAGTCATTATTATATATTTCCGTGTTTGAGGAACCTCGATTTAGAAGTTTCCTCCTGACAATTTTTATATTGGTTAATTTGGATCCTGAGCCTAATCAAAGAATGTTAAGAGCTATTTACTAAAGTGATCATTGCCAGGAATTCCAAGGGAATTTCAAATTCAAGGCCAAAGTAGCTGAATTCCCAGGAAAACCTGTAAAGTTGGTGAATGCTCCAATGAGAAGAAAACATGTTCATCTCTTGAAGACTCTTCTTGTGTCACATGACTTCCTTTTGTAATTAATCCTGCCCAGAGAAAATACAAAAAATAATGTTTCAAAAAGAGATTAAAAACAACACTTCCCTTTCTACCTGTATGAACTTTAGTTTACTGCCAGTATATATGTTTGCATAGAATTTGCTTGCAGGATTCATTATAAGGGCTACAAAAAGGGGAGATATAAAAAATAATAATGTAATTTAAACAAATACATCATATCTTAAGGCTGAACTAACTGAAATTATGGACATAATGAAACCACAACTTTTGTGCCAACATTTACTTGGTAGGCACCTATGGATGCCTATCCCAAAATTCATTTTTATGTTTCACCAATAAAATGGTGACTTATAGACAGGAAGGAGTACTGTCTTTTGTAATGGTGTATGACCAAGAGAATAGCTGCATCACTGGAACAATTATTTACTGGAACGGTTGGACAAGTCATGACATCTCACCAGTGGTATGTGTGTTGTACACTCAGGAGACACAAAGCATTGTCTGAAGACAACTTGTAGTTAATGGTATGGTTCAACTCTGCTTCTCATTGTTCACACATGAGGACGTTATGCAAATGTACATTGGTGTGCAAGGTTCTGGAGTTGAAGCACCATGTAAAGCTATGCAAGGTTCTGGAGTTGAAGCACCATGGAAGCTATGCAAGGTTCTGAAGTTGAAGCACCATGTAAAGCAATGCAAGGTTCTGGAGTTGAAGCACCATGTGAAGCTATGCAAGGTTCTGGAGTTGAAGCACCATGTGAAGCTATGCAAGGTTCTGGAGTTGAAGCACCATCTGAAGCTATGCAAGGTTCTGAAGTTGAAGCACCATGTATAGCAATGCAGGGTTCTGGAGTTGAAGCACCATGGAAGCTAAACAGGGTTCTTGAGTTGAAGCACCATGTAAAGCTATGCAAGGTTCTGGCGTTGAAGCACCATGTAAAACTATGCAAGGTTCTGGAGTTGAAGCACCATGTGAAGCTATGCAAGGTTCTGGAGTTGAAGCACCATGTAAAGCGATGCAAGGTTCTGGAGTTGAAGCCCCATGTGAAGCTATGCAAGGTTCTGGAGTTGAAGCAACATGTGAAGCTATGCAAGGTTCTGGAGTTGAGCACCATGTGAAGCTAAACAGGGTTCTGGAGTTGAAGCACCATGTGAAGCTATGCAAGGTTCTGGAGTTGAAGCACCATGTGAAGCTATGCAAGGTTCTGGAGTTGAAGCACCATGTGAAGCTATGCAAGGTTCTGGAGTTGAAGCACCATCTGAAGCTATGCAAGGTTCTGAAGTTGAAGCACCATGTGAAGCAATGCAGGGTTCTGGAGTTGAAGCACCATGGAAGCTAAACAGGGTTCTGGAGTTGAAGCACCATGTAAAGCTATGCAAGGTTCTGGAGTTGAAGCACCATGTAAAACTATGCAAGGTTCTGGAGTTGAAGCACCATGTGAAGCTATGCAAGGTTCTGGAGTTGAAGCACCATGTAAAGCGATGCAAGGTTCTGGAGTTGAAGCCCCATGTGAAGCTATGCAAGGTTCTGGAGTTGAAGCAACATGTGAAGCTATGCAAGGTTCTGGAGTTGAAGCACCATGTGAAGCTAAACAGGATTCTGGAGTTGAAGCACCATGTGAAGCTATGCAAGGTTCTGGAGTTGAAGCACAATGTGAAGCTATGCAAGGTTCTGGAGTTGAAGCACCATGTAAAGCTGTGCAAGGTTCTGGAGTTGAAGCACCATGTAAAGCTATGGAAGGTTCTGAAGTTGAAGCACCATGGACGCTATGCAAGGTTCTGAAGTTGAAGCACCATATGAAGCTATGCAAGGTTCTGGAGTTGAAGCACCATGTGAAGCTATACCAGGTTCTGGAGTTGAAGCACCATGTAAAGCTATGCAAGGTTCTGGAGTTGAAGCACCATGTAAAGCTATGCAAGGTTCTGGAGTTGAAGCACCATGGAAGCTATGCAAGGTTCTGAAGTTGAAGCACCATATGAAGCTATGCAAGGTTCTGGAGTTGAAGCACCATGTGAAGCTATGCAAGGTTCTTGAGTTGAAGCACCATGGATGCTATGCAAGGTCCTTGAGTTGAAGCACCATGGAAGCTATGCAAGGTTCTGGAGTTGAAGCACAATGTGAAGCTATGCAAGGTTCTGGAGTTGAAGCACCATGTAAAGCTATGCAAGGTTCTGGAGTTGAAGCACCATGTAAAGCTATGGAAGGTTCTGAAGTTGAAGCACCATGGACGCTATGCAAGGTTCTGAAGTTGAAGCACCATATGAAGCTATGCAAGGTTCTGGAGTTGAAGCACCATGTGAAGCTATACCAGGTTCTGGAGTTGAAGCACCATATGAAGCTATGCAAGGTTCTGGAGTTGAAGCACCATGTGAAGCTATGCAAGGTTCTTGAGTTGAAGCACCATGGATGCTATGCAAGGTCCTTGAGTTGAAGCACCATGGAAGCTATGCAAGGTTCTGGAGTTGAAGCACCATGTGAAGCTATGCAAGGTTCTTGAGTTGAAGCACCATGGAAGCTATGCAAGGTTCTGGAGTTGAAGCACCATGTGAAGCTATGCAAGGTTCTGGAGTTGAAGCACCATGTGAAGCTATGCAAGGTTCTGGAGTTGAAGCACCATGTAAAGCTATGCAAGGTTCTGGAGTTGAAGCACCATGTAAAACTATTCAAGGTTCTGGAGTTGAAGCAACATATGAAGCTATGCAAGGTTCAGGAGTTGAACACTGAGTTGACGTGCAAGATCCTGGATTTTTGCAAAGCTCTGGAGTTAAAGTACTTGTGAGTACTAGATATTAACTAGATTACGAGATATTAACGGACTACGAGCTCAAGGAAATCATACATAGTAACAAAAAAAATGGGGCAAAGAAGCACCTTTCGTGATGACCCATTACCGAAACAAAGCTGTTACACTTCAGCGATCATTGATTCCTAACCACATTGCTGCTGGTTGTTTGGAGATAATAAGTTAGGCTTTGGGGTATAAAATGGAGAGGAGATGTCATCTATGTTTCATCAATCGATTATCCATTTTACTTGCATATGTTGACTTCTACCAAAGGGGACACCATAACAGCTCACAAAGTAATTCAATGCAATTTATTTGGTTATTTCCAGACCCCTAGTTATACAGTAAAACGAGTCTTAGGGAATGAATCATTGAGAATTATATAGGATGTTCTACCTTAGCACTTATATGTGAAATATGAACTAAATGCTGTGCGTTTTCAAACAGTGCAATATTTCTCCAGTAGCAGGGCCGGATTAACATAGGGGCTGATGGAGCTGCAGCTCCAGGCCCAGGCCCATGGAATAGGCCCATTTAAAAAAAAAAAAAAAAAAATAATTTTTTTTTTTTTACACACTACTCTTAGGTTTGCCACCTGACTGGTATTTTAATGGCACAGACGGTATTTGAGGCTGCCTGGCCGTGCCGGTATTGCAGTAATACTGGCAATACAAATGCAGGTAATTTTCTCATAATAATTGGAAATTACTCTGCAATACCAGCACCGGCCAGTAGGGGTCACTGTGTGTGGAGAGAGGCAGGGATAGGAAGTAACAGCATATCCCTCCCTGCCTATCTCTACTCACTGATCCGTGGGGGAGCAGCTACACAGCACAGAGAGTCCAGACAGCAGCTCTACAGCTCAGGTAAGTGAGGGATGGGGGGGAAGGCAGCAGGGACACATGGGGACACTGAGACACTAGGGGACATATGGGGCACAGATACTAGGGGGCATATGGGGACACTGAGACACTTGGGGACACAGACACTAGGGGACACATGATGACACATACACTAGGGGACACTGAGACACTAGGACACAGACACTGGGAGACCTGGGAACACTGAGACACTTGGGGACACTGGAAAACATGGGGACACTGAGACACTAGGGGACACAGACACTTGGGGACATATGGGGACACAGACACTAGGGGACACATGGGGACACTGTCACTAGGGGACACTGAGACACTTGGGGACACTGGAAAACATGGGGACACAGACACTAGGGGACACATGGGGATGCTGAGACACATGGGGACGCTGTGAGACATAGGGACATTGGGAGATATTGGGACACGGAGACACTATGTCCCCCAGCCAGTGTCCCTAGTGTCTCAGTGTCCCCAAGTCTCCCAGTGTCTGTTTCCCATGCCTCTCAGTGTGCCTAGTGTCCCCATGTGTCCCAGTGTCCTCATGTCTATGTCCACAACTGTCCCCATGTCTCCCCAAGTGTCCCCTAGTCTCCCAGTGTCCCCTAGTCTCCCAGTGTCCCCTAGTCACCCAGTGTCCCCTAGTCTCCCAGTGTCTGTGTCCCTAGTGTCTTAGTGTCCCCAAATGTTTCAGTGTCTCCATGTCTCCCAGTGTCTGTGTTCCTAGTGTCTCAGTGTGCCTGGTGTCCCCATGTCTCCCAGTGTCCCTATATGTCCCAGTGTCCACATGTCTATGTCCACAACTGTCCCCATGTCTCCCAGTGTCCCCAAGTGTCTGTCTCCCAGCCAGTGTCCCCTAGTCTCCCAGTCCCAGTCTCCCAGTGTCTGTGTTCCCATGTCTGTGTCCCTAGTGTCTTAGTGTCCCCAAATGTTTCAGTGTCCCCATGTCTCCCAGTGTCTGTGTCCCTAGTGTCTCAGTGTCCCCATTTCTCCCAGTGTCCCCATGTCTCCCAGTGTCCCCGGGTCTCTCAGTGTCCCCAGCATCCTAATGACATGGGGACACACTGAGACATTGGGACACTGGGAGAAATGGGGACACAGACACTGCAGCTCCAGGCCCAGGCCCATGGAATAGGCCCATTTAAAAAAAAAAAAAATAATAATTTTTTTTTTTACACACTACTCTTAGGTTTGCCACCTGACTGGTATTTTAATGGCACAGACGGTATTTGAGGCTGCCTGGCCATGCCGGTATTGCAGTAATACTGGCAATACAAATGCAGGTAATTTTCTCATAATAATTGGAAATTACTCTGCAATACCAGCACCGGCTAGTAGGGGTCACTGTGTGTGGAGAGAGGCAGGGATAGGAAGTAACAGCATATCCCTCCCTGCCTATCTCTACTCACTGATCCGTGGGGGTGCAGCTACACAGCACAGAGAGTCCAGACAGCAGCTCTACAGCTCAGGTAAGTGAGGGATGGGGGGGAAGGCAGCAGGGACACATGGGGACACTGAGACACTAGGGGACATATGGGGCACAGATACTAGGGGGCATATGGGGACACTGAGACACTTGGGGACACAGACACTAGGGGACACATGATGACACATACACTAGGGGACACTGAGACACTAGGACACAGACACTGGGAGACCTGGGAACACTGAGACACTTGGGGACACTGGAAAACATGGGGACACTGAGACACTTGGGGACATATGGGGACACTGAGACACTAGGGGACACAGACACTAGGGGACACTGAGACACTGGGAGACCTGGGGACACTGAGCCACTTGGGGACACTGGAAAACATGGGGACACTGAGACACTAGGGGACACATGGGGATGCTGAGACACATGGGGACGCTGTGAGACATAGGGACATTGGGAGATATTGGGACACGGAGACACTATGTCCCCCAGCCAGTGTCCCTAGTGTCTCAGTGTCCCCAAGTCTCCCAGTGTCTGTTTCCCATGCCTCTCAGTGTGCCTAGTGTCCCCATGTGTCCCAGTGTCCTCATGTCTATGTCCACAACTGTCCCCATGTCTCCCCAAGTGTCCCCTAGTCTCCCAGTGTCCCCTAGTCTCCCAGTGTCCCCTAGTCACCCAGTGTCCCCTAGTCTCCCAGTGTCTGTGTCCCTAGTGTCTTAGTGTTCCCAAATGTTTCAGTGTCTCCATGTTTCCCAGTGTCTGTGTTCCTAGTGTCTCAGTGTGCCTGGTGTCCCCATGTCTCCCAGTGTCCCTATATGTCCCAGTGTCCACATGTCTATGTCCACAATTGTCCCCATGTCTCCCAGTGTCCCCAAGTGTCTCTCTCCCAGCCAGTGTCCCCTAGTCTCCCAGTGTCTGTGTTCCCATGTCTGTGTCCCTAGTGTCTTAGTGTCCCCAAATGTTTCAGTGTCCCCATGTCTCCCAGTGTCTGTGTCCCTAGTGTCTCAGTGTCCCCATTTCTCCCAGTGTCCCCATGTCTCCCAGTGTCCCCGGGTCTCTCAGTGTCCCCAGCATCCTAATGACATGGGGACACACTGAGACATTGGGACACTGGGAGAAATGGGGACACAGACACTGTGAGACTGAGACACTGGAAGACAGTGAGACACTGGGAGCAATCCATCTATACAGCAGAATCAAACTGTGAGTAGTTTGTTGGTGATTTTACAGAATTTTCTCTGATGTCACTCCTTGTGATTTACATCATGTGATGTCACGCGTAACTAATTAATTATACAAATTATTAAGGCTGGTATTTTTTTCCAAGAAAGGTGGAAACCTTAACTACTCTTCACATACTCTTGCTTAAAGGAGCACTATAGGGTCAGGAACACAATCATGTATATCTGACCCTATTATGTTAAAACCACCACCCTTGCCCCTTCTTGCCTCCCTAAATATAGTAAAATATTACTTGTATTCAATTCTGCAGCTGCTGGCTCAGAAGTGGTGGTCTGATCAAATTACAATACTTCCCCATAGGATTGGCTGAGACTGTCAACTAGGCAGATCAGGGGCAGAGCTAGCACAAGTCCAACATAGCCCTGGCCAATCAGCATCTCCTCATAAAGATAAATTGAATCAATGCATCTCTATGAGGAAAGTTCAGTGTCTGCATGCAGAGGGTGGAGACACTGAATGGCAGTGCTGCACACTAGGCAGTACTGCCCCAGGAAGCACCTCTAGCAGCCATCTAAGGAGCGGCCAGTGGAGTTATTTTCTCTGAAAAGACAGTGTTTACTGCAAATACCTGAATGGAATGATTCTACTTACCAGAACAAATACAATAAGCTGTAGTTGTTCTGGGGACTATAGTGTTCCTTTAAGTTTGGAAGCTTAAGAGGGATGTATGGGAACAAAACTTGTGTGCACTGGCTAGTTTAGGTAATGCAGACGTTGGTCTCTCTAACACTGTG